ACAGCATCAACATTTCTACTGATTTCAGTGGCATAAAGTCTACTCCTAGCAGTAGATGTGACTGAGGAAAAAAAATCCTGCAGAGGATAAATATAGGTTTTAGCTGGTTGTCTTAAATGAACCATTTGGAGGGACTTTGCCCATCAAGTAGTGTAGAATACCTTTTTTTTAAAGTAAGCTAAGAGTTAGGAAGCTTTTAACTGTATCTTTTGGTGTTAGAAAATAAGAACCTAACTCTAAAAATCCTTATTCACTCTAATGTTGTTCCCTAAACAGAAAGAAGTGGGGAGAATGTATAGCCAGAAAAGTCTCAGCTGAAAAATTGAGCATAACTTTTTGCAGTATGACTGAACTTGTAATTTACTGTAACTTCTTCTAGAGCCCCCTGAGCTTCCCCCTTAAAAAGGGTCTCCTTCCTGTTTACATTTCTTCAAAACCTTGCATTCTCCTTGCGCTAGGTTCCTTATTGCCTAATAGTTCACTCAAAAGTGGGGGGGAAATGCCAGCTAATTGAGAGGATTCAGTCCCTTCTTCACAACCTCCATACTCTTTGCATCTCACTCCTCTCTTTTTACTGTCAACTTTCACATTCTTCCCCCTTAAGGCACAATCATACTTCTCAAAGTGCTGCTGATGTTGCAAACAGGAACCACACTGATGGTCCAGCTTGGAACTATTCTTCCCATTTAAATTTTCCTTTTGGACAAAATTCTAATTTTAATATTATTTTAAAGTGCTTCGATAATAATTTAATCATCAACATATTCTACACAATGAAAGAATGTAGCCCTAGACAAATATTCCTATTGTAAATAGTAGTATTGACTACAATAGGGCCAGACACTCAATAAGGACTTCAGCTGAGAGTTCTGTATCCCAATATTGTTGCAAACTGTAAATGTGGGAAGAAGGTAGAAGCAAGTCAAAAGTCTGGACCAAGACAGTTTTTACTATTGCCAAAGGGTTCCTTAAAAATGTAGAACCTACTTAGTAAACTACTTTTGTTATGGTGGTATAATGCCACACCTATGTGTTATTTGCTATTATATTATTTGTATGTGTATATAACTATTTCAAGTTTAAGACGACAAATGCTTATTCTGATGGTAGTTGTAACAAGAACATCTTCATTTTACATTTTTAAAGCATTATCCCTTTCATAACCTTATTGAGTCTCGGCCTCCTGGGATGAACGTGGTCCTTGAGCTGGTGAAATTCACCAGCTACATCAACAAACAGAAGAAAAAGAAACTCAAGTGGGAAAACCCAAAAGAAAGATGAAATGTATATTGCCTATACATTTAAGTAATTCTTGTGAGGTACTGAAAGCTCTAATTTCTCACTGGACCTCACATCATTGGCATACAAGTGTTTAAAGCCTATCACACAATACCATCATCCCACTATTGTGCTTGCCTGACTGAGGCCCAAATGAATTTATGTAATTTAGGCCCTCATCCAGGGCCTAAATTCCCAATTTTATGAATTCCCCTGGAAGCAAACCCAACCCAGTTTATGGAACTTAAGTAGACTCTAAGTTATGAGCCCACTTTCTTTCTGTTGCAAAGAAAGCCAAGAGCATACAAGGTTGTATTAATAGGAGTGCCACTTGTAAATCAAGGGAAATGATTCTTCCTCTTTATTCACCACCAGTAAAGCCTTACCTGGAGTAGCATGGCCAGTTTTTGGCCCCACACTTCAAGAAGGATGTAGATCATAGAATCATAGAAAGTTAGGTTTAGAAGGGATCTCCGGAGGTCATCTAGTTCAACCCCCCTGCTCAAAGGAGGGCCATCCCCAACAAGATCATCCCAGTCAAACCTTTGTCTAATTGGGTTTTGAAAACCTCCAAGGATGGAGCTTCCATCACTCTCTGAGTAACCTGTTCCAATGTTCTACTACCCTCCTAGTGAGAAAATTTTTCTTAATCTCGAACCTAAACTTCCCTTGCTACAATTTGAGATGGTTGCTCCTTGTTCTGTCATCTGCCACCACTGAGAATGGTTTAGCTCCATCCTTTTTCAAACTCCGCTTAAGGTAGTTGAAGGCTGCTATTAAGTCCCTTTTCAGTCTTCTCTTCTGCAGACTAAATAAGACAAGTTCCCTCAGTCTTTCCTCATAAGTCATGATGGTTTGGATATTCAAGTGCAGAACAACAAAAATGATCAGGGGCTTGGGGGAGAACATTTTTGAGGAAAGACTGAAAGAACTAGTGCTAGTCCAGAGAAGTTAAGACTTGGGACAGATTTGATAACAGTCTTCAAATACAGAGAGGTCAGTTACAGAGAGGATGGGGATAGGCTTTTCTCCCTGAACACAAGGGACAGGACCGGAAGCAATGGTCTCAAGCTTCAGTAGGGGAAATTTAGGTTGGAGATTAGGAGGAACTTTCTGACTCTGAGGTGGTCCAACAACAGAACAGACTACCTAAAGAAACTGTAGCTGTATCATCCTTGGAAGTTTTCAAGAGTAGGTTAGACAGGCACTTGACTAGGATGGTTTAGTCAGGGAAGTTCCTGCCTTGAGCAGGGGGCTGGACTAAATGATCTTGTGAGGTCCCTTCCAGCCCTACTTTTCTATGGTCCTGCAAACAGTTAAGCAAATGCAGAACTTTATGTGAATAATCTCATTGACTCTTAAGAGACTACCCATATGATTAATATTACTTAAGGCTTTGTAAAAATGGGTAGTTGACTTGCATCAGTTATAAATTGTACATTTCATAGCTGGCAAGTGAAGAAACCTTGTATTGTACCATACTCACGCCATTCGCTGTCATATTTTATGACATCACTCAAATTATTTTTGAAAAGTTTTAAACATAAGGAAAAACTTATTTAATGTCCGAGTCTCCAGAGCCTGGAATAGGCTCCCCTCAGAAGTCGTGCAAGCACCTACTCTGGATTCCTTTAAGAAATACTTGGATGCTTATCTTGCTGGGGTGATCTGACCCCAGCTGACTTCCTGCCCCTTGGGCAGGGGATTGGACCTGATGATCTTGCGAGGTCCCTTCCAGCCTTAATGTCTATGAAACTCTTGGTCGGCCACTGATTTTGATACTTTTCTTTCTTATCACTTCCCACAACAGACTGAAAAGCGGGAGCTAAATTGGGGGTTGTTATGGCTTTTGATTTAGCATTTCCTTTATGTATTTTTTTTAAAAAAAGCTTATAGCTGTTGCAGTCACTGGCCACATCTACATGTTCATTAATGTGCCTTAGATACTGCACATTTAATTTAGTAGTTCCTTAATAAGGTACTAACTGAATGCGCGGTATCTAGAGATACTGCGCAGTAGCACCGGTGCCCAGTTATTTAGTGATGCTTACTGTGCATTAGCCTAAAAACACTGAGCAGTAGGCTATTAGCACGGTTTTTGCCGTGATACACTACTACACGGTGTTCTTAAGCTAATGCACAGTATTGAGTCTCATGTAGAAACATCCCCTATGTAGCAATACTGACAGGGACTCAAAAATTAAAATAAACTGTCAGATGCAAGCCAGAGGAGTAGAAGTCAACCTGCAAGTGCTGAGAGAAGATAGTATAAAAAGCTAAAAAAACATTGGCCAAAGTGATGTTGAGTCATGTTGAACGCTCTCTTGCAGGCTGTGTCACAAGCAGAGGGACTGCTGTGGGGCCTGCAGCTTCCTTCCATTTCAGTGCGACCTGAGGACATCTTCCAAACG